ACACACACACACACACCACCTTGGACCACCTCCCTCCACAAACACCCAATGGGCAAATTCCCCTCCTTCCCCTTCACAGCGGAGCACCTGAGCCCACTCCCCACAGGCCGGGCCAGGAAGCCAAACTGGCAGACCCTGAGGCTCTGCAGAGCCACCTCCCCACTGTGCACCCCCCAACACCCCCAAAGGGATCATCTGGGCTGAGGGAGAGCGACAAGAGGAACAGCAGCGAGGGTGAGTGTGTGAGTGTGTGCATGAGTGTGTGTGTGAGTGTGTTTTGGGTAACAACAAAGAATGGGGGCGCGAGAGGAGAGCGAGCGCGCAAGAGCGTGTTTTGCCTCGAAGGCAAGACTTGCAGCCAATCAGCGCGCAGGAGCCTCCCTCCGCGACTCCACTATTGAGTCTATAACCGGCTGGCCCGCGGAGCTGGCTGCATTTGACTGTGGCTCAGGACGCCACGAGAGGCGCGCAGCGACTGCCCACCACAGCCGAGGGCCGGCCAGGACCTGAGCGCCCCTCGGCCTCCCCCTCCCCCGAGACGCGCCGGACCCTCCCCTCGCTCTCTGGACACACACCCCTGCCTCGTCCCCAGCGCCTCCCCGGCGCTCTCGCCGGCTCCGCCGAGGCCAGCCCCGGGCAGGCGCGGCGGCCGCCAGGATGAGCGGCTCCTTCGATCGCAAGCTCAGCAGCATCCTCACCGACCTCTCCAGCTCGCTCAGCTGCCATGCGGGCTCCAAGGACTCGCCCACCCTGCCCGAGTCCTCCGTCACCGACCTTGGCTACTACAGCGCGCCCCAGCACGACTACTACTCGGGCCAGCCCTACGGCCAGACCGTGAACCCCTACACCTACCACCACCAGTTCAATCTCAACGGGCTCGCGGGCACGGGCGCTTATTCGCCCAAGTCGGAATATACCTACGGAGCCTCCTACCGACAATACGGCGCGTACAGGGAGCAGCCGCTGCCGGCCCAGGATCCAGGTGAGGCCCGCGGGGATTGGGAGAGTCGGGAGCCGGGCAAGATCGTGGAGAGGAGGCAGACAGGAAACGCAGCCGGATCCAGGGAGGGCAGAGGAGCAAGGAAACAGCGAAGGGCTTTACCTGGGTTTAGAACCCGTGGGCTAGGTGACCCCACAAGGTGCGCGGAGCCCTGGGGTCTCTGGTGCGGGCCTGCGTGAGCTGGAAGGGAAGGAGGGTGGCTGGCGCGGGCCTGGGTATCTCCGAGTGGAGGTGATTTCGGGGTGGCAGAGGGCTTGGGAATGGGCAGGGGGGACTGGAAGCTCTGGGGACTCCCCTTCGGCACCGGGTTGAGGAGACGCGGGAGTGGAGGGGGAGGCAGTGGAGAGGGGCTTGATGGGGGCAAAGAGCACCCCGGTGAGACAGCGACTGGGCTGGGGAGACTGAGCCCGGGAAGGGTGGCGAGGCGGGGCGGGGGGAAGGATGGACGCGGGGAACAGAGGAAGGGAAGAACGAATCGGAGGAGACAATGCACTACTTACTGTACGGGCAACTTTTCGGTACATCCAAAACTATTCGAAAATACAGTCGTAGACAAGCA